CCAGGTCAGTCATATACATGCAAGGCAGGGCATACACCTGGCCTCTATACCGTCCCCTCTGGCTCTGATTAATGGGGCCTTAACTCGAGTCAGGCTCTCAAGATGGTCCTCCGCCACCCCTCCCACAACTGTATTCTATTACAGGCACTGTGGTCATATTCTGTTACCTCCCCTTGGGACGACCTTCCAAGCAGCCCTGCCTGGCATTTGCACCTTAGTGGGGAGTGCTCCCTTCTGCAGTCACCCACATCCCAGCTCAGAATGTGAGTGCTCCTCCTCTGTTCTCCCCACCAACACCACCAACACCACCATCCACCACCCTCTCTGTCTCTCAAAATTTAATCAATAAACTGCCTCAGTGGAATCAGATTCCAGGGTTTTAGTTTGAACAGCCTCATGCTTCCTTCCCGGTCCAGCTCTTCTGACTTCTCCGTGCAGGATCAAAAACAAATGTGCGTTTATTTTGGGGGTTGGGGGAGGGTAGTGATCCCTAAAAAATCCCCGTCTTCAAGTTTCTTCCTCGGGAACTTAAAAAGAGAGTCATTTCTTTGAAAATGGCATATGGAGATTGTGGATGTCATTCCCCCCACACTCCGGAAGCACATGATTTAGAGTGGATTTTGGTGGTTTTTTTTCTTAAAAAAAAAAAAACTTGAAGAAAAGAACCCACAATGAAAACAATGTGTGGAAGGATCTCGAGCATTCTGCCCCTGGAAGGAGGCTCTCATTCTTGATGTTTCTTTCCCTGTCTCTGCAGGGGGGAGGAGGGGAGTTAGAGAGAAGGCCTCCTCCTAGGGGCCCACTCTTGGGGGCTCTGAGCAGAAACATCCACCCCCCCCCAAAGTCTCCGGCAGAGGTGTATGGCGAGCACAGTCCCGGCTGCTCAGAAAGGGTCCTGAGACTCCACATGCATATGCGCCAGGGGACAGTCTGCATGTCTCAGTTTACTGTGGTGAAAGGTTGATCCCAGGAGCAAAATTTGTGGAGGGAGTTCTACAGGTGTGTTCAGGGGCCTGGGATGGGACATGGCAAGGAGTAGTGGGCTGAGTGGAGGAGGGAGGAATAGGGGGAGGAGTAGGACTCAATAGGTCAGTGAATTATACTGACCAGGCCATCATCCTGCTGTGACCTGTAGGGGGTGGGTGTGGAGGTTGGGGTGGGGGGCTTATATGCACTCTGGGCTGTGCTCTGGGCAGCCACAGGGCTCAGTGGGCAGAGGGCAGGGATGTGCTGGTCACAGGGTGCGGCTGACTGGGATGTGCGTGATTTGTGCCCCAGGGAGCAGGCAGTCATTACCAACAGCAGGTTGTGGTGGGGCGTGGAAGTTAGAGCTCACTAAAATCCCCCTTGTACCCACAGATAATGGGAGAGACTCGGGGAGGGGACCTCACTCCGCGTGGCCCATCTGGAGTCTCTGCTAGCATCATGTTACCTTCTGAATAGTCTAAAGGTCTCCCCGGAGTACATGCTGGATGCCGGTTGTGGTACCCACGAGGGGCTTCCCAAATCACCCCCTCACACACTCACACATCTGAGATCCCTCCCACGCCACCTGGTCTTAGGGGACCCATTTCTCCAACTCTCCCCAGCCCGCTGGGGCAGCTTTAGAGCTTTAGCCTCAACGCTGAGATCTCCAACTTCTTCCCTGCACCCACTCTACCCCTGGCCTGGGGCACCTTCTTCTCCAAAGAGATGTGACTCATTCCTGCAAGTCATCCGTATGCCCTGGCCCAGCTCACTTTCCTTCTTAGCTTCCTTCCTTCTGACGTTGTTTGAATGTTTTGGGGTTTGGGGCAGATATTTTAGGAGTGTGGGAAGGTTGTACCTGACAGTGCTCAGGGCATACTCCTGGCTCTGTGCTCAGGAATCACTCCTGTTGGGGCTCGGAGGACCATATGGGGTCCAGGAGATTGAACCTGGGTCAGCTATGTACATGACAGGTGTCTTAACCCCTGTACTGTTGTCTCGGGTTTCACTGTTGGAAATGTTCTTGCTGGTTTGTTTACCGTATATCTCCACTTAAGTGGCAGGGGCAGGGCTCTGTGTGAAGGCAGTGTGGTTGCTGCTCTTTATCCCCACACTGCTCTCAGGGCAAGTCCTTGAGACAGGTGAAGAAGTGAATGAGTGAGGGAGTGAATGAGAGTGAGTGTGTGAAAGAGTGACCGATTCAGTAAATAAATGAGGGAATGAATGTGCAAGCAATTGAGTAAATGAGTGTGAGAGTGAGTGAATGGATGAGTGAGTGACCAAGTGAGAGTGAACGTGTGAATGATGGGAGTGAGTGCGTGAATGAGCAAGTGAATAAGTGCGAGAACGAGTGAGTGAATTGACTGAGTGAGTGAATGAGTGAGAGTGAGTGTGTGAGTGAGTGAATCAGTGAGTAAATGAGTGACTGGGTGAATGCATAAGTGACTCAGTGAGTAAATGAGTGAGAGGGAGTGTGTGAGAGTGAATGAATGAGCAAGTGAATGAGTGAGAGTGTATGAATGAGTGTGAGAGAGAATGAATGAGAATGAGAAAGTGAATGAATGAGAATGAGTGAGTGAATGAGTGAGTAAATGAATAAGTAATTGAGTGAATCATTGAGTGAGTGAATGAATTCCTATCCCAGAACCCTGTACCCAGACTCCATCTCCGTGAGGCAACAGAGTTGGGTGACCCCTCAGACTGGAAAGGGGCTCAGGACCCTCGGTCCCCCTTGCTCCTTTGATGGCACATCCTCCATTCTGGAGAATGGAATACCCTATGGGATACCGGGGGTTGAACCCGGGTCAGCTGCATGCAGCGCAGTTGCTTTACCCACTGTACTATCTCTTCAGCCCTGCGTTCTTTTTTCCTAAAGGTCCTGCCCTGCCCATTTGGATCCCTGAATCCTGTTTTTCCCTGCAGGGCTAGAGAGCCACTTTGTGGCGTGCCCAGCATCTGTGATGAGCAGGATGCAGTTTGCCCCAGATCCCACAGAAGACAAACCTCCTGTCCCTAGTTTGATGGGGCTCCACATATTAGTGGTCACCATCATCTTCTGGACACCCTGAGTGCTTCTGTGTACAGGCACTGGGCTGAGCTCTCGCCTGCAGGAACATCTTGCGTTCACAGCCCCGGTGGCTCACGGTACCTTTGTAGTGACACAAACTGATTCCCAGCTGAGGAGCTGCCTCAGTCATCCTGTGGTTTTGGAGAGCAGCTTTGCTCTGGGGCCCCAGTCATGGGCCACAGGGGAGAGGCGTGAGGCCTGTGCTGGACCAAGGTACAATGTATCTGAGTTTAAGTAAGGGATTGAATGGAGGTGAGAAGATGAGTTTTGTGTATTCCCAGTCTCCAAGGAAGATGTCCATATTGGGGAATGATGAAGATGAAATTGAATACATAAATAAAACATGAATTTGAGAAGAAAAAACCATGACCTTTTATTGAGAAGTCGCTGCGTTCATGGACAAAACACACAGTACAAAGGTGCCGGTGCTTGCCTTGCAGACGGCCAACCCTGGTTGATCCCTGGCACCGCATAAGGGTTCCCAAGCTCTGCCAGGAGTGACCGTGGTGAGCAGAGCCAGGAGTCAGCCCTGAGGGCCACCAGGTGCAGCCCAACACTGCACCCCACCCCGCCAAAGAAAGTCATTGCATTCAACCCATTGACAAAGTAGCTGACCAGCCCACACAACAGGTTATAGCCATCAATGGGATGTGATTGGGCCTTCAGATAGAAAATGTTGACTCACGCCACAGTGGCTGAACCTTGAGGGCCTCATGCTTGAAAAATAAACCAGTCACAGGAGGCCAAGGTAGCCTCTGAATGGAGACTTCAAGAGACTCCAAGAGCAGAATGGTGGTGGCAGGGGCTGGGGAGGGCGAGGGCTAGTGTTCCCTGGACAGAGGCAGTGTAGGAGGAGATGGGGGAGAGTTCTGGAGATGGATTGGGGTGAGCCCCAGGGTGATTGCCAGTCCCCCTGAGCTGTTAACTTGTACGAGGTTACAATGGATATCGTTCCGTTCCACCATTCACAAAAAGGCGCTCAGGGTGTTCGCACTACTGCCGGCCACTGTTGTGACAAATGCACAGAAACAGCCTCGTTTTCTGTCGTGTCCTGTGTCCTCGGGCACTATGATCGGCTGGCGGGCAGCCGGCCTCTCCGCCTTCCTCAGAATCAGCAGCAAAGTCGGACTCAGCACGATTGCTGCTGGCCCTTGGCCTTCAGCCTGAGTGAGAGTTGACAGAGAAATCTCCACTTTTGAGCTCTTTTCCCAGTTTAACTGCTTTTTAAAGAGCCTTGTTTTCCTTAGGCCTATAATTATGTTTGCCTCCAGGGTACCCAGGAATTTTTTTTTTAATAAGAAAAGAGCATCCTACAATTATCAGGATGATTTGTGGAGGGGCAGGGCGAGTGCCACCAGGAGCTGACTCACCTCTGGAAATGATGATGGTGTGCTGGTTTGGGGCCCCTTGGAGGGCGGCCCGGCCATGCGCTCTGGGGGTCAGGGCCGGAGAGAGGATGGTGCCCATAATGCAGACGCTGCAGCCACCCTTGCAGGATGGGGCGAACAGGGGGTCCCGGGGACCCTGTCTTCGCAAATGAATCTGGGTCAATATTTCCAGCCCCTGTGCCTGCGGTGTGGCGGTGCCTTCACCCCTGGCGGCTGAAGCCACCCGCATGCAGCCCCCCAAGGCTCTGTCAACCCTGATTTTCAGGGCCGAGCCCCCCCCCCCCCCCCCCCCCCGCCCCGTAATCTCCCCAAGTTCAAAGAGCGCTTAGCTGCTTGTCTTTGTCGAGAGCACGGTTGGAGATCTTTTATGTGAGAGATGTAGGATTCTCCACTGACTTTGATTATTTATTCATCCTGCTTTGTGGGTGTGGGATAGCCTGAGCTCTGTGGAACCCGCCCCCGCCCCCGGTCCTGCTGCTGTACTCTGAGATTCATGGAGCTTTCAGATGCCTTTGAAAATTGCTTTACCAGCGTGGGGGCAAGTTGCTGAAGTTCTGTCTCTCCCTCCCTCTCTGCAGTGCCGCAGCACCTTCTACCGCCCTTCCACGCGCCCTTGCCAATTGACATGCGACATCAGGAGGGAAGGTACCATTACGAGCCCCACTCGGTCCACGCCATGCCCGGGTAAGTCCCACTCACTGCCCAGTGTGCCATCCCTGCGGCCACCTCTCCTGCCTCTCTCTTTTCTTCCCAAGCCCTGGAATTCTGCAGCACGCCCATGAATACGTGGACGCTGGACCCCATGTGTACGTGTGGGTGACTGTGAATGCCCAGCTGCCCCCTGGGATGTGGTCCTTCACCATGCCCAGGCTGTCTCTCTATGTCCATATGGACTTGAAGCTCTTTCTGGGTCTTGGGGACCCCCTTTACGACAAAAATCGCAAATGGTCCAATTTGACAGTGAAAAGAAATCTTCAATGATAGTGTCATTTTCTTGATGTGGCTGTTTGTTGAAGACTTATATGGTCCCTTCCCCTTGTGTGTCCTACCTCAGTGCTTACTCCTGGGCCCCCTTAATCTCCAGGGGTGCTAAATTAATCTGCCTTTACAGCTGATGGAGGCCTCTGGCAGATAGACTCCATGCAAACCGAAATACTCCTGAGTTGTTGACACCACAGTGTTGGTTCCAAACATTTTTGACCTTTTGTGGCACTAAGTTCTAAGGAGAGAAATTGAAAACATTTTCATTTTCCTGTGTGTGTTATCAAATAATGTTCTGAGTGCTCTATCCCATTTTAGCTCGCCCTTTCAGTTTTTGTTAATCTACCATAGCCGTAGAATTCTGTCCTTTTAATATTAGAAATGAAAGTTAAACAAAACCTTAGTTAGGGGGCTGGAGTGATAACATAGCGGGTAGGGCGTTTACTTTGCACCCAGCCCACCCAGGTTCAATTCCCAGCATCCCATATGGTCCCCCCAGCACCTCCTGGAGAAATTCCTGAGTGCATGAGCCAGGAGTAACCTTTGTGCATCGCCAGGTGTGATGCAAAACAAACAAACGAAAGAACCTTAGTTAGATGTTGTCCCAGCAGAGCCTACAGAGAATCCCTCCCAGGGGTCCACTTTGGACACTGAATGGGAGTCACTCTGTCAGTAAAGACAGGTTCTAAGTTACTCATCAGGGCCTCCATCCTGCACCCACCCCCGAGACCCCCAGATCAGAGGGGTGTGTCACCTGGCTGGTTTCCCTGTCCTTTACTCTCTCCTTCATTTTGGCTAGGGCCTCAGAGCTGATACATAGTCCATGTCACTTGCTGGTGTCATGGTAACTCCAGGCTGGGTTGCCTCATCCTTTCTGCTTCCAAAAGTGTTGCCGGCTTTAAGTGCTTCCCAACATCTCTGCTGCTGACTGCACCTGTCTTGGGCGCCCCCAGTCCTCAGCCATGTCCAGCAGTCCTGTGTGGCTCCAGTCCACCACCTGCCTCTGTCCTTGTGTGGCTGGGCCCCTCCCAGCTCAGAAGCCAGGTCCTCTGTGGAGCTCCAGGGTCTATACGCTCCACAAGGGCCTGCCCGGGATTCTCCTTACCCTGCACTACAACACACATACACACACACACACACACACACACACACACACACACACACCCTGCAGGCGCTGACCTCACACTTATGCTTCCTTAGTGCCTCACAAGTCTGGTGCATTGGCAGCCTGTCAAGAGGCCTCTCCCCAGGGTCCCCTCTGAATCAGACACTGCTGAGTACTGGCTGGATGCAGATAACCTGCCCCATTGGGAGGCAGATGGTATCCCAGCCTCAGGAGGCTTCTAGCTCTGGGCACCCATGGGCACCCCAAGACTAAATCTGTAACTTTTATCTTCTTAAAAAAATATATTTCTTTCCAGGGACAGAGCTCTAGTACAGCGGGTAAGATGCTAGCTTTGCACATGGGCAGCCTTGGTTTGATCCTGGCATTCTTTATGGCCCCCTGAGCACTGCCAGAGTGATTCCTGAGTGCAGGAGTAAGCCCTGAGTATCGCCTTATGTGGTTAAAAAATAAGCAAAGAAACAAGAGATCTTTTTCCCAGAGGTGGGAAGTTGTACAGCTGTTACAGCATATGCCTGGCAGCTGTCCTGCCTAGGTTGAACTCTCAACACCACATGGTCCCTCATGCATAGCCGGGTGCCACCCTGGAGGCCTCAGTCCTGCTGAGACTACCTTGGTGTTGCAGCACCTCATCCTTGGGCCCTTGCATTGAACAAATGACTTCATTGGTTCAGAACCACCAATGTGCCCCCACAACCTCCTCCTCTCCTTCTCCCCCTCCTCCTTCTCCTCTTCCTTCTTCCTTCTTCCTCCTTCTCCTCTTCTTCCTCTTATTCTTTCTTCTTCTTCCTTATTCTCCTTCCTCCTCCTCCTCTTCTTCTTTCTCCTCTCTCTCTCTCTCTCTCTCTCTCTCTCTCACACACACACACACACACACGATCCTTTGATTCTTTACAAAAATCCCTCTTCTTGTCCCATTTTTCACCCACTAACTTTGACATCCATCAGTGGTTCCTGCCACAAAGAGTATGTTTTCCTTCATCACTTACACCACATGAATGTACGGATGGGCTGGAGAGATACGACAGACGGTTAAGGCACTTGCATGCAGCTGCCCCAGATTGTATTCCTGACATCCCATATGGTCCCCTAAGCCCTGCCAAGAGTGATCCCCGAGCACAGAGTCAGGAGTAAGTCCTGAGCACTGCCAGATATGGCCAAAAAAATTAACCAAAAAAATCTGCAGAGCTCATTTCCCAGAGAAACTGCAGCTCACAGGTCTCAGAGATTAGGATAGGGACAGCTCTGAGGGTGATTATTCTGCTCATGGGTCTCATCAAACCCTAGAGATGAGTGTGGGGTTTGTACCCAGCAGAAGACATAAGGGGTGTTCAACTCTGCCGGCCTGTGGTGGGCCGCAGAAGGCAGTCAATGGTGGGTATACTGCAGTCTGTCCTACTTACAGGCCATGTTGGAATCACCCAGCTGGGAGACAGTGGACCCGGTGTCATGCTCTCTGTAAACTCACTTAAAGAAGGTATTTGTGGAGGGGGATAATGAGTGCTTTTTCTTTTTTTCTTTTTTCTTTTTTTTCCCTTTTCTGTCACACCTAGCAATGCACAGGGGTTAATCCTGGTTCTGTTTTCAGGAATCACTCCTGGCAGTGCTCAGGGGACCATATGGGATGCTGGGAATCGAACCCGGGTCAGCCACGTGCAAGGCAAAAGCCTATCTGCTGTGCTATTGCTTCAGCCCCATGAGTGCTTTTTCTTGAAAGGTGGCAAGTAGATCAGATCTGTACGGGAGCCTATGTCCTCTCCCACTTGCCCCCCAGATGGACTGTTTCTCGCGCCCATAGGGAACTAGAAAGGTGTGCCCACAGCTCATGTCGGCCCTGCTGGGAAGGCATGCAGACTTCTGCTGGAAGCCAAGGCTCCGACGCGGCTTCCTCTGGTCAACATCCGTTGTAGGCACTCTGTTCCCAGGGCCCCATGTTCTGCTGGACTGGATTCCCAGAGGCTCCCCTTTATTCACAGGATGGCCAGTCCGCTCTGGGATCATGGAAGGAGGGGCACCAGGAGGGTTGAGAGCTAGTGGAGTTCTGGAAAGCCCGACTCTCCACGCCCACTCCCCACCTCCAGCACCCTAGGTGGGGCCCGGGACAAAGCCTCCGAGAAAAATGAGCGGGCTTGTGTGATGAATGGGATGGGGTCCTCATGGAGCGCCTGATCCATCAAGGCCCCGTCGCCGTCGCCGCAGCCCCGCTCCCTCTCGCTGGCGCCAAACGCGTCTAATTACACAAACATTGCGCAGCTAATGAGGTGCGGTGTCATCTCTTGTCAGCCGAGCTGCAGCGCAGCACACAGGACCCCTGCCCAGGGCGCTCTCTCTCTCTCTCTCTCTCTCTCTCTCTCTCTCTCTCTCTCTCTCTGTGTGTGTGTGTGTGTGTGTGTGTGTGTGTGTGTGTGTGTGAGACCGGGGCTCCTCACACAATTACCTGCCATCCCTCCTCATCCTCACCCTGGATCCCGCAGGACAGAGCTGCCTCGACTGGAGTGTGAATCGTGGCACTGAATCCGCCACCGTTGTACCAGTCGGGAGCCTTTGAATTCATAAACCTCCCTTTCTCATTCAGAAAACCTCCTCATGCCTGACCCCATCCACTGTGCTGTTTTGAGAAGCTACTGGGGTGGTGTGCGTTCATTTCCGAGTTGAGCAAGTTGCAAATATTCGTGGCTGCCGTGAAGAATCATGGCTAGTGTTTGCCTAATACCGAAGGGGCTTTCCCTGACCTGTGATGCAGAGGCGGCCTTGGCCCATGCCTGGGAGAGGACGCTCTTTTGTGGCCATGCCCCAGAAGGTGGAAAAGGGGCAGAAGAAGTGCCACTGGAGATGAAGAGGGCTTGTAGCTTTCACCCCCACATACTGGTGGAAGAATCTGGATTTATCCCAGGAGCAAATGGGAGTGGTCAGATTGGGGGACAGTAACGGTAGAGTGAGAAGATGGGCAGAGCAAATGGGAACCGTGGAGATTAGCCTAGTCCGACAGCCATAGTGGACACAGAGGGGAGCAAGGCAGGATGCACCCCCACACGGCCAGTTCAGCAAGTCTACACCCAGGGCAGCACCCTCCACAGAGACACCCCCCCACACACACACAGCCACCTGGAGCAGCGGCCATGGGACTTGACTCTCTGACAGTGCTCTGAAAGCTCCACAGGAGTGGATGACTGGGACATGGGTGCCCCAGGTGCACACAGGGAATGAGGACACGGCTTTGGCGGAGGCGGAGGGGGGTAGTGGGGGAGCTCTTGCTGGCCACATGGGGTTCTCCTATGTGCCTCCCCTGGTGCTGCTGGCTCCTGGCCCTCTGTGAGTCTGTTCTCAGGGGTAAGGCGGGATATCCGGGGTCTCACACCTTCGTGCCTGCTGGTGGGAAAAAACAACGCTGCTCCCATCTAGGAAACCAGCTAATCGTGAGCTCCCAGGCTCCGAGCCTGAGGGATTTCACAGTTCCCAGCTGGAAACCTGCTTCCTGGGGGCCTCCTGGAACCAGGCTGAACTCAGGTCAGGGCGAGGAAGGCTGAGGTTCTGGATGGGAGCATCCAGAGTTGGGGACCTGCCTTGGACACCCTAAAGG